TCGCATGTGGCTGGAGTGGAGCCAGCAGGATGCTGTGCCCATGGAGGAGAGTGAGGTACAGGGTTGGGGGACCATGGAGGACACCCAGATCTGGGTGGGGGGTTGTTGCCATGGAGGAGAACAAGGTATTGGGGCAGGGGACAATGCCCATGGAGGAGGACAAGGTATTGGAGCAGGGGACAATGCCCATGGAGGAGAACAAGGTATTGGGGTGGGGGACCATGTCCACAGAGGAGAACAAGGTATTGGGGTGGGGGTACCCATGGAAGACATTGGGAATGGAGTAGAGTCATGTGCTTTGGTCTTGGAAGACACTGAGGTATGGGGTGAGGGTTTGGCAACGGAGGACATCAAGATGCTGGTTGGGGAACCATGTCCATGGAGAAGACCAAGGTATTGGGTGGTGTGGAGGACTGTGGCCATGGAAGACAGTGAGGTATGGGGTGGGGGCTATGCTTGTGGAGGACACTTGAGGTATTTGGTGTGTGGCCATGGAAGACATCAAGATACTGGTTGAGGGACCATGCCCATGGAGGAGACCAAAGTATTGGGTGGTGTGAGGGACTGTGGCCATGGAAGACAGTGAGTTATGGAGTGGGGAACCATGCCTGAGAAGGACACCAAGGTATAGAGTGGGGTGTGGGTCTGAGGCTATGGAGGAGACTGAGGTATGGGGTAAGGGGCCAAGCCTGTGGAGGACAACAAGGTAAGAAACCAGAACACCAAGGTATGGGGTGAGGGGACCTTGGCCATGGAAGGCAGTGAGGTATGGGGTAGGGGGCCATGACCATGGAGATCAACAAGGTAAGAGACCAGAACACCAAGGTATGGGATGGGGGAACCAGGACATCAAGGCATGGGTTGGGGGTCTATACCCATGATGGACACCCATCTCTGGATGTCCATCCCCCCGAGCCCGTGCTGCCTGCCGCGTGCCCCGCAGGTGGAGGCTCGGACACTGGCCATGCTGCGTGGGCTCCTGCACCAGCTCCACACCACCTGCACCCGCCTGGCCAGCAGCACCCGCTCGTTCCC